GCGGACCAGGAGCGAGCGAGCCACCCGAGAGCCGCCGGTAGATCATCCGCCAGTCCCTCCGTCCCGCCCCATGCCCGGCAGTTGCCCTCACAAGTCCCAGCCCGCCGGCCCGCTCCATCACCGGGGCGTAGCACGGGTTTCCCGCTCCTTAGGTCCCCCTGCAGACCCCCGTGAACGGGGAGAGCTGCCCGAGGGCTGCGCGTCCACCTGCGGCTCCGCCCGGGACGGTTCCAAGGAGGCGCCGCGGAAAGCTGCGGCCCAGGGCGCACCCAGGTGCTGCGCGCTCGGGAGGGGCTGGTGGTGCCGGGGGTCATCGCCCACTCGTCTGCACCTGGCGAGCAAGGGCTGAGCCCCTCCGGGAAGCGAGGAGTTAAAGCCACGGTGGGGGCTCCCCAAAACAAAGGTCTGCGCAGGCATGCGTGGCGGTGTTCCACTGCCCGCTATTTTGTGAGGGATCGTCTGTCTGCGATCCGGGTTAAAAATAACCCGGAAAGGTTAACTTGGAAGGTGATTTTTTGTGTTGCTCATTTCAGTGATTTGGTCTACAGTACAGAACCAGAAGTGATGGCGCTACTGAGAGGGTGGCAAGTGCTATCAAGATGGCAGAAAGGAACAACTGGAGGGACTGGAAACAAGACTGAAGACAAATAATTTGTTGGTATTTTATGTTCTGCTTCTGGGATGTCAACAGTCACCTGAAATTGAAGGCAGCATAAAATCATATCTTGACAGTTTGATCCTGCAGTCTCTTAGTACAGTCTTACCAAGCAGTTACTCACAGAAATAAAGAATTTCAGATTCCACAGCAAGCAATGAGGGAGCTCTGTCTACAGCTTGCGCTGTTTGTCCTCTGCTGACCAGAGGAACTCGAGTCACAGAAGTGCAAAACAAGACACTCCAATGTTACTGTTCTGTTTGTAAAAGTAGTGAATGTCCACTAAGGAAAATAGTAGCCAACCGGATCTGGACAGACTCCAAATCTTCAAACCTTTAGCAGCAGTCCCTCTGGGTAACCTACCAACACAGAGGAAACTTCACACCACTGCAAAGCCCAGCAGAAAGTGGGGAATCAGCCAAAACTCGCATTCCTGTGGCTAGTCTCCAGTGAAAAAATGGTCCCTGGTCAACAAAGAAAAAGAACTACAAGCACCTAAATAAGAACATGCAAAGAGTTAACTCCAAAGAAGTTGTACTAAGGTTCACTTTGATAGACCAGTGCAAATATGATCTGCCGTCTTCTTGTTTAAATGAGATGCAGTGCAGAAAAGAGGAAATAAAGGGAAAGGCCATGAACATGTGTTTATACCTGGAGATGGACTAATCCTGTGAAAGGAGACTTCCTTGCTGTACCTGGGAATGAGATCAGGGACTCCTGTGGGCAATTCAGCAAGGCAGTCCATGCCTCAGTGTCCTCTTTTGTCAGATACAGAGAAGGGAAACAATAGTTTGTTATTGTGCAGAATTACTGCAAACTTGCCTTCAACGTGCCATGCAAAGTGCATTCTATGATATGGAAAAAAACAAACAATGGATTTGCAGAAAAGAACAAGCATCTGAATAATAGGAAATCAGACTGAAAGACAGTGGAGTACTCTCTTCTGCTGTTCATATAGTTACTTTCAAGCAGAAGGGTGTGTCTTTGGAAGGAGAAGGGGAGAAAGACCATGTTCCCTCAGGTTCTTAGGAACAGCTGACTTGGGACAGGGATGAGAAGACAGTGCAGGTCTCCCAAGAGACTGTAGAGCAGAGAGGAAGGAAAACAGGGCAGTGTCAATGAGGACCAGCAAGTGCCTGACCCTTAGAGATAGATACCCACTTCCTCTCTTTGCCGTGGAGTTGCCTGGTCAATACCAGCTGAATGAGAGAGGGAGATCTAGAAACAACACTGACACTGGGTTTGAAAGAAAGCATGTCTAAGTCTTTATCTGAGCATGTTTTTATCTGAGACCCAGGACCCAAACTAAGCAACTGGAATCTTTTCATAAATCAAGACCAGCATTGATAAACTGAGTTCAGAAACCTAAATTTAAAGGCATTCCCAGCACTTTGACTAAAGCAAAAGTTGGAAAAAATCTTAAGTGTGACCATGGAAATGAGCAACTTTTATTTCTTTTATTTTTTACAAAAGTAGGCTCCTTTTCTAGAACTTTGCTTGAGGAGGAGAGCAGGTTGGTTTGTTGGAGTGAGTGTGAAATATTTGATCATGAAAAATGTCTGTGCTGACTGCTGAGAAGGAATCGATTTAGTGCCAACTGCAGTTCCTGTGGAAGTCTGCTAGGAATTCAGCTAAAACCAAGCAAAGGAGCTGGTTGTTGCAGAGCAGCAAGGACAAAGTCCTGCATGAAATGAGCCTGTAATTCTGAAAGGTAAATTCTGACCTTGTCACTCCCTTGCTCAGGCCCATCCTGCCACTGCACACTTCCTATCTGAGATACCTCCACCACTATTTTATAAACCACTGGAGGTTTCTATGTGTCAATTCATGGTCTGCTATAAGAACCAGGAGGCCCGGAAGTTGCCTGAATCCCGATGTTAGAACCACATATTGGTGTATCGTCACAAACAGCAGCGACATGGGCAGGAAGAAGAGTATGAGTGAGGGCGAGAGAGAAGACACCAACATTCAGATCAGGAGGTGGAGAAGCTGTGAGTGCAGCCAAGATGAAGGAAGGGGAGGTAATGGCTGGATGAAACAAGGAAGAGGGCAGTTCTGACGCAGGACAGGGCAGGGCACTTCTCTGAGGGACCAGCACGCACCAACAGGGAGAGGCAGAGGAGCGTGTTCGGCCTGGCAAGTCTTCCAGCTGTTCCTGGTTCCCCTCAGTCTGTGTGTTCAACTCGGATACGCTTGGCAGTGGCTGGATACGAGAGTGCTAAAGGAATGGCAGCTCTTTCACATAATTTGCCCGCAAGCTTCCTCTTCACTATGCCAAGGAGAAGGCAGACAAAGCTTTGGCTCCTTGCTTTACAGATCCAGTGTGACAGCCGGACGAAAGGAAGCTGCAGAGAGCCCCTCGTGCTTGCAAAACCTCCAGCAGGAGGAGGTTTAGATGGTTCAAAGAGAACATTCAAACAAAAACCTCCCACAGCCTGAAATTCAGCTGATGCTAATTGAGCACTAACTGCAGGCCTGCAAGAAAAAAGAATCCTTTCCTCCAGTCAGTCCTGCTCCAAACATAGCAGAGACCAGAGCAGTATTTACAAATAGGTATGTGAGATGTGTGGTTTCATGGTCTTTAACTACTGCTTTAAAGACAGTAGGTAAAATTAGCTTTTGGTGGCAGACACCATTTAGAAGCAGGAGATTGTAGCAGCCTTTGGGCTAAATTTTGAGGTTGGTTTTGGTAGTCAGCTTCAATTCAGTTTACAAAAGAACTCAGATCTTTGTGTTACAAAGAGACTTAGGCACGGGTGGTGACATGAAGTGGAACCAGGAGCTGAATCAGGTCTCCTGTACCTGAATCCCTTTCCCTGGAATGAGACACCACAGCTGCCATTTGCCGCTGTGCTGCCCTAATAAACATGGGTATTTTAAAGTACTCCAGGAACCGAGGGTATGATGCAGTACCAGAGCCAGGCCCACCCATGGCTCTCTGCCACTGACCTGCCCTGGCTTTCTTGCCATTTCTCAGCTGGTGGCTCTGGGGCTCACTGGAGCTTAACTTGACAAAGAAAGCAGAACATTTTTCTGCTGAGTTAGTGAGCTGAATAGGTTCAGTGAAGTGTTCAGTGAGCACCAGAGCCAGCTCAGGAGACTGGGCTACTTATGGCTGGGAACAGGAACAGCTGGAAGAGGAACAGCTGCACCTTTCCAGACAGCAGATTCATAGATGAGCTTGACAGCACTGTCAAACCATACAGACTCTTGCACTCTTCCCTTTCTTACTTCAGATACCAGGTTCAGTGACGGGAGCCACTGTAAAGAGTTCCACACAGAAGTGGGAGGCTGCTGGAGACTAGTTAACAAAGGCTGACCTGCATTGTTTGGGTTAGTAGAAAGTGAGTAGAAATCAAGACCTCTTGGAAGGCAGGAATTCCAGGGTCATCAGTCCAGCAGAAAAATTGGAAAATAAAGATTTTAATATAGTTTAGGTCACTCCCAATAAGTTGCTTTCCTGACATATCTTATTCACTACAAGCCAATCATCCCAGTTACTCCTGCTCTTGCTGGATAGGAATGGTCCGTGGCATGGAGGCTTTACAGGTAGCAGTCAATTCATTTAATTACAGATATACATATTTTCCGCCTCTAATTCAAATACTGTCCAAGCACCCAAGTACAGTTTGCCTGTTTTAAAGCAGTCCATTTGACCTAGATAACCACTGTTCCCTCTCCAGACAAAAACTCTCCTCATGTTCTTTTTAAAGTTCTTGCATGTTGCA